AATGCACATGATGATTGTAAAGTGTTATTTTTTTTAAGTTTACACACTATACTGAGGGAGTGGAAGAAGCAGTTTTATCCAGGTAATAGAAATATGACAGTGGGGATTTCTAGTGAAAGAAAGTGAAGATAGCAAAACATATAAAAAAAAAAAAAGAAGCACATATGTATCTATTGAGACTCTAAAGTATTAGGCCTTTGTGCCCTGTGACATACTGCTAAGAATTTGAAATAGCAAAATCAGTTAATTTGGGCTAATGTTCTCCAAAGAGTCCTTTTTTTGAGTTGAGGACCAAACCCAGGGCTTTGCACTTGCTAGGCAAGCATTCTACCACTGAGCAAAATTCCCAACCCCTCCAAAGAGTTCTTAGCACAAACTATAAAATTAACTTTTTCCCTAATTTTTTATATTTATATACATACATATATGTATGTATTTTGTGTGTGTGATAGTTTCGCTTGCAGTATTGGCTGGCCTAGAACTGGAATTTGCATGCCATGTAGCCCAGGTTGGTCTTGAACTAGCAGTCCTCCTGTCTGCTAAATTTACAAGCATGAACCTCCCTCCATACTCTGTATTCATTCATCCCTCCCTCTCTCCCTCCCTCCCTCCCTCCCTCCCTTCCTCCCTCCCTCCCTCTCTTCTGTCTCTCCCTCCCTGCTTCTCCCTCCCTCCCTTCTCCTTTTGAAACAAGGTCTCACTGTATTATTTTAGGCTGCCCTGGAGCTTACTTTGTAGACCAGGTTGTCCTCAAACTCAAAGAGATACATCCGCCTGCCTCTGCCTCCTGAGGGTTAAGATTACTGCCCAGCCATATTACCACAACTGTTTTGTCTGCGTGTGTCTAATCACACCAGCTAGTGCAGTACTTGAAAAGCTCAGAAGAGAGTGTCGGATCCACTAGAGCTAGAATTAAATGGTCAGCTGTCTTGTGGGTGCTGGGAATTGAACCTGGGACCTTAGCAAGAGCAATCAGTGCTCTTAACATCTAAGTCATCTCTCTAGGGTCATGTTTCATTTCTGATAATTTCCTTTAACAATGATTTTGCAATTAAATAGGTTTATATTACAGCTGCAGATAGGATTACTGTGTCATTCTTCAAAACTATCGAATGCTGTAAATTCTAGCAGTTCAGTTTGCAGTGTCTATCTTATTCAATGATTCAATGTAATGTATAGGTTTCTAAATCAATCTTTTTTACTTTTTCTGAGACAGTATCTCTGTGTGTGGCTGTGGCTGACCTAGAACTCACTATGTAGACTCGACAGGCTTTGAACTTGCAGTGGTCTCTTGCCTCTGCTCCCCGCCCGTGTTGGGTTACAGGTGTGTGCTCTCACCTGGCTAGTGGGTCACTTTAGAAAACTTGATTTTATTATATTTTTTATTGGTTAAATAAAATAACACAACTTTAGATATCCAAGATAAGATTGGCTTAGAACAGATATGGTACCACAGGCTAGGAACCGCATCAGTAACGTTCGCTCTGCTGGGTTCTTGGACTCTCTGCCAAGTCTAAAGGGGTAGTCATGGGAGGATTGTGTTGTCTACCATCACCTCTAACCCTGTGTTTGTTCCACTCCGACACCTGAAAGTTGGTGTTGGTGTTAGGAGATCTGCACATTCCACACCGGTGCAACAGCCTGCCGGCTAAATTCAAAAAACTCCTGGTGCCAGGAAAAATCCAGCACATTCTCTGCACTGGGAACCTTTGCACCAAGGAGAGCTATGACTATCTCAAGACTCTGGCTGGTGACGTCCACATCGTAAGAGGAGACTTCGATGAGGTGCCATTTTCCTTTCTCTCCCATCTGTACTCCTTTCTTACTGTTTTGTATAAACTTTATTATTTAAGCTTGAGTTTTTCCATGGTCGCCCCACCACCGCCACTTTGAAAAGTTACCTTTGGACCTAGAAATGTTTGGTGGTTGAACACCTCTCTAAGCATACACGATGCCTGGGTTCAGTCCTCAACAGCATTGTCACCCAAATAAAAATTAGAGGTGAACTATCCATTAGTTTGCAGCCAGTGTTCTGAATTTAGGCATTCTCAGATTTTGGGATATTTGCACATATATAGTGAAATATTAGTGGTAAGAACCAGGTCTAAACAGCAAATTCATTTTTGTTTCATATTTTTAAATTTGTTTTTCAAGACATGGTTTCTCTGTGGCTTTGGAGCCTGTCCTGGAACTAGCTCTTGTAGACCAGGCTGGCCTCGAACTCAGAGATCCACCTGTCTCTGCCTTTGGAGGGCTGGGATTAAATGCATATACCACTGCCTGGCTACATTGCTACATACTATATACGCATAGCCTAACGATACAAATAAATTTCTGACCATGTGGGGCTCTAAAAGACCCTGTTTGGAAGGGGAATAAAATTAAAGAGTTGTTATGCAGGGAGGTGGTAGCTCATACCTTTAATCCCAGCACTTGGGAGGCAGAGGCAGGCAGACCTCTCTTAGTTTGAAGCCAGCCTGGTCTACAGAGCAAGTTCCAAGACAGCCAGAGCTACACAGAGAAACCCTGGCTTGATCCCCCCCTCTGCCCCCCCCCCCCCAAAAAAAAGCGCCACGCAGTGATGGTGCACACCTTTAATCCCAGCACTCGGGAGGCAGAGGCAGGCAGATCTCTATGAGTTCGAGGCCAGCCTGGTCTACAAGAGCTAGTTCCAGGACAGGCTCCAAAAAGCTACAGAGAAACCCTGTCTCAAACAAACAAACAAAAGAAAAAACCAAACATAGGGTCCTGAGTTCAATTCCCAGCAACCACCTGGTGACTCACAACCATCCATAATGAGATCTGGTGACCTCTTCTGGTCTGCAGGAATACATGCAGACAGAACACTGCATACATAATAAATAAAGCTTTAAAAAAAATTGGGTATTGTAAGTATTAAAGCCTGGATATAATTTAAATAAATCCCAGTTTATAAGTTATGTGCCTTAAGTTGTGAAAATTACAAGTTTGGGGATAATTACTCTCTAAATTTTTTATTACAATATTTGTGCATGCATGTAAATAGTACTTGTGTGACGGTCAAAGGACAACAGCTTGTGAAGTCAGTTCCCTCTTTCTACCATGTGGGATCCAGGGATAGAATCCAGGCTGGGGGGCAAGTATCTTTACTTGCTGAGCCATCTCCCCAGCCCAGGAATAGTTATTCTTTACAGCACACCCTAAAGAACCCATATTCTTTTTTTTTTTTTTTTTTTTTAAGAACCCATATTCTATAAAAATTAACTTAATAAAGCAGTTGCTTAGAAGCTTCCAATTTACATTGGCTGAATTGGGTTTTATACACTATTGCAGTATTACAGGCTGAGGAGAAACTTTTTATAAATGTATTTGTTGTAGGTCTGAAGATACCTATATGAGGTTGAATATTTAAACAAATTGAGTAAGTTTCATCCTATCAGAAATGTGTATTTTCCTTGTGTCTTTTTTTATATTAGAATCTGAATTACCCAGAACAGAAGGTTGTGACTGTGGGGCAGTTCAAGATCGGTCTGATCCATGGACACCAAGTTATTCCATGGGGAGACATGGCTAGCTTGGCCCTGCTGCAGAGGCAGTTTGATGTGGACATTCTTATCTCAGGACACACACACAAATTTGAAGCATTTGAGCATGAAAATAAATTCTACATTAACCCAGGTTCCGCCACTGGGGCATATAATGCCTTGGAAACGTAAGTACCACAACTTAGTATTTAGTGCTTTAGAAAAAGTAGTAATTGCATGATGTTCATAAAGAGAAATACAACATTTAAATAAGAGTCTGTGTAGTGGCACACACTTTTAATCCCAGCACTCTGGAGGCAGAGGCAGGTAGATCTCTGAGTTCAAGGCCAGCCAGAGCTACATAGTGAGACCCTATTTAAAAAAACACAATAAACAGGTAAAAAAAAAATTTGTTTTGTTTTTGTTTTTTGAGACAGGGTTTTTCTCTATGTAGCTTTAGAGCCTGTCCTGGAACTTGCTTTGTAGATCAGGCTGGCCTTGAACTCACAGAGATCCTCTTGCCTCTACCTCTTGAGTGCTTGGATTAAAGGCAGGTGCCACCATGACCCAGCAAACAGGTAAATGTCAGCAACCCCTTTTTGTTATTTTTTTCTTTCTTTTTTGAGACAGGGTTTCTTTGTGTAGCCTTGGCTGCCCTGGAACTCACTTTGTAGACCAGGCTGGCTTCACACATACAGAGATCCACCTGCCTCTGCCTCCCTGAGTGCACCACCCCCACCCTGTTACTGGTGTTCTTTTCAGTGTGCAGGTAACAATCAGATTTCTCCTGGAGTTCAATACCTTGAATTGAAATTTACAGTGCTTTTGCTTTAGTACAAAACACTAACACAGTTTATTTCTCTTCCAGAAATATTATTCCTTCATTTGTCCTGATGGATATCCAGGCTTCTACAGTGGTCACTTACGTCTATCAGCTTATTGGAGATGATGTGAAAGTAGAACGAATTGAATACAAAAAATCTTAAAGCTAGGCTTGTCTTGTTCATTTTCTGTTTTTTCCCCTATTTTCTTGTTCAAATGAATTAATTAAACACTTAAGAGGCACACAGTTGTGTCACTTTTATAATATTTTGCACTAAAAGGTATCTTCTGTTTAGAACATAGTTCCTCTAAGATTCTTGTAAACTATAAGAATATTCTTAGCTTGCAGTATATGGTTTCTATGAAAAGAAGTCCACCATACAGTATAGGTCCATTTAAGAAAAATTTATCTTTGTAAATATCTTCCTAGTTGGTATTTGGACTTCATTACAAAACTAGTGCATGAAGAGAAAGAATCCAGAATTTCTGTGTATGTTTTCTCTTCTTTAGTAATAAATGTTTACCTTCCATTTAGACTTTCTTGAAAACCTGTGTTTAATTTAAAAACTACAGACTTAAAATCCCAGTAATCAAGAGACAGAGGCTCTTAAGACTTGAATACCACAATAGTAAAGGTGGCTTACACCTTTAATCCCTGAACTTGAAAGGCAGAGGCAGGAGGATCTCTGAGTTCAAGGCCAGCCCAGTCTATAAAGTGAGTTCCAGGATAGCCAGAGCTACACAGGGAAACATTGTCTCTAAAACAAAACAAGCACAATGTTAAAAAATGATATATCAAATGCAACCGCAGGTGTGTTAGAGTGCAGGGGTGCACAGCTACAGATGTGTTAGAGTGCAGGGGTGTACAGCTACAGATGTGTTAGAGTGCAGGGGTGCACAGCCACAGATGTGTTAGAGTGCAGGGGTGCACAGCCACAGAATTGTTAGAATGCAGGGTTCACAGCTACAGATGTGTTAAGAGTGCAGGGGTGCACAGCTACAGATGTGTTAAGAGTGCAGGGGTGCACAGCTACAGATGTGTTATAGTGCAGGGGTGCATAGCTACAGGTGTGATAGAGTGCAGGGGTACACAGCCACAGATGTGTTAAGAGTGCAGGGGTGCACAGCTACAGGTGTGATAGAGTGCAGGGGTGCACAGCCACAGATGTGTTAAGAGTGCAGGGGTGCACAGCTACAGGTGTGATAGAGTGCAGGGGTACACAGCCACAGATGTGTTAAGAGTGCAGGGGTGCACAGCTACAGATGTGTTAACAGTAGTAGTTCTCAACTTGTAGGTATTTCCTTTTGGGAGTCAAATGACTTTCACAGAGGTCACCTGAGAAAGACCATCAGAAAACAGATGTTTACAATTCATAACAGTAGCAAAATTCTATTTTGAGTTATGAGGTAGCAATGAAAATAATGTTATGGTTGGGGTGATCACAACATTAGGAACTTTATGAAAGGGTCTCAGCATTAGAAAGGTTAGAGTAAAGGCATGTGGTGGCACATGCCTGTCGTTCTCTTCAGGAGGACCAGGTAGGATGGTGTCAAAACATGAGACCTGCTTCGTAGCTTATGAACACTGTACCAAGCTGACAATAAGTCAGCAGTGATTTTTTTTTTAAAGATTTATTTATTATATATACGGTATTCGGTATTCTGTCTACAGGCCAGAAGAGGGCGCCAGATCTCATTACAGATGGTTGTGAGCCACCGTATGGTTGCTGGGAATTGAACTCAGGACCTTTGGAAGAGCAGGCAGTGCTCTTAACTGCTGAGCCATCTCTCCAGCCCCCTCAGCAGTGATTCTTAAGTCCTCCTGCTGCTAATGTCTTTATCTGTTTGTAACAATAATTTCTTTTTTTTTAAATATTTATTTATTATGTATACAATATTCCATCTTTGTCTATGTCTGCAGGCCAGAAGAGGGCACCAGACCCCATTACAGATGGCTGTGACCCACCATGTGGTTGCTGGGAATCGAACTCAGGACCTTTGGAAGAGCAGGCAATGCTCTTAACCACTGAGCCATCTCTCCAGCCCCCAACAATAATTTCTTTTTGAGGAGCTTTCACTATGTAGCCCTGGCTTACGTGGAATTCAAAGTGTAGACCAGGTTAGCTTGGAACTCAAAGAAACCTGTCTTTCTTCTCAAGTGCTAAGATTAAATATATATGCCAACACACTTGTCTTATCCATAGGTTTATAATTTATATTTAATAGCAAATATTGAGTACCTGCTTTACAAGTTACGACCTACACGTGCTATTCTGTGTAAATATTTTTCTATTTTCCTATTTTAATCAAGAAAAATCTTATATAATATTCAACTATTACTATTTTGGAACTGATTATGAGCTGAAAGAACAAATAATATATTTGGAAAGAACAAATTGGAAAAAAAAATCATACCAGGCATAGTGGTACATACCTTTAATCCCAGCACTCAGGAGGCAGAGGGCAGGTGGATCTCCGTTTGAGGCCAGCCTGGTCTGAAGAATGAGTTCTAGAACAGCCAGGGCTACACAGAGAAACCCTGTCTCAAAAAACAAAAACAAAACAACAACAACAACAAAAGAGGCGCTGGTGCTCTTCCAGTGGACCTGGGTTCAATTCCTAGTACCCACATGGCAGCTCACCAGTATAATCCCAGGAGTTTCAATACCTTTGCACAGACATACCTGCAGGCAAAACGCCAATGTACATAAAATAAATTTTTAAAAATTTAGTGTATGTGGCAAGTAAAATTTTAATTGTTCCTAGCTAGAAACAAGCATACATTACACAGATATCATTGGTACACAGAAGCATATAAGATGAAGAAGGCTGTGTCAATTTCTCAACAACTCAATTGACATACTGGTGACTAGCACTATCCATACATGGCTCACAACTCTTCCCTGTCCACATCTGGATGTTGGCTGATGGCTGACCTTGGTATGGAGACTTGTGGGCTAAGACGGGGTGTCCGGTTCTTGAATAGACATGGTCTGCATGCACTCATTCAGTAGATCTTCTTCCTTTGTTCCTTCACTCGTGCATGGCTGAGAACCATCTGAAGAAACCGAAGGGAAGAGAGGAGTTTATAATCTGTTTTGGAAACAAAATTTTTATTATATGTGTATGAGTGTTTTGCCTGCATGTGTGTCTATGTACTTATTCTGTGTGTGCGTGCACCTGGTGTCCACAGAGGGCAGAAGAGGGCCTCAGATTTGGAACAAGAGTGGTGGGTGCTGGGGATTGCAGGATCTCTGAAAGAGCAGCCAATGCTCTTAACCACCGAGCCTTATCTCCAGCCTCATTTACTTATTTTTTGAGACAGGGTTTTTGTAGCTCTGGCTAGCCTGTAACTTGATACCAAACTGGCCTCCTAGTCACAGAGATCCACCTGCCTTTGTACCCCGAGTGCTGGGATTAAAGGCATGTGTCAACATATGTGACTGGATATAAAATTCTAAGCACCTAGCCCGGGGGGTGGTGGCGAAGGCCTTTAATCCCAGCACTAGGAAGGCAGAGGCAGGTGGATCTCTGCGAGTTGGAGGTCAGCCTGGTCTACAAGAGCTAGTTCCAGGACAGGCTCCAAAGCTACAGAGAAACCCTGTCTCGAAAAACAAAACAAAAAAAAAAATTCTAAGCACCTAAAAAAATACAAAAACAAACAAAAAGGCTCCAAAGCCACAGAGAAACCCTGTCTCGAAAAAACAAACAAAATTCTAAACACCTTTAAAATGACCCAGCCTATTGAGCTTTTAGAAAGACAAATTCTCTACTGTTTTCAACATAGGTACGTACCCCTCCTACTTGCCTCAGCCTTTCTTATAGTAGTCACAGCATTGTACTATAGCAGCTACTGCAGTAAACCCTGTATTCTCACTGGTTTTAAAAGCCTTCTAGGGGGCTGGAGAGATGACTCAGAGGTTAAGAGCACTGGCTGCTCTTCCAGAGGTTCTGAGTTCAATTCCCAGCAACCACATGGTGGCTCACAACCATTTGTAATGAGATCTGGCACCCTCTGGCGTGTGGACATACATGGAGGTAGAATGTTGTATATATAATAAATAAATAAATCTTTTATTTTTTTATAAATATTTATTTATTTATTATGTATACCATATTCTGTCTGTGTGCATGTCTGCAGCCAGAAGAGGGCACCAGACCTCTTTACAGATGGTTGTGAGCCACCATGTGGTTGCCGGGAATTGAACTCAGGACCTTTGGAAGAGCAGGCAATGCTCTTAACCACTGAACCATCTCTCCAGCCCTAAATAAATAAATCTTAAAAAAAAAAAAAGCCTTCTAGGTGAGGGAGTTAGGAGTTAAATAAAGTAGTCAGTAATGTCTTCAGAGTCTCCATATTCCTTTAATTCTTTCTCATGGCTTGAGGACCTCGACAGTGTTTCCTCTACTGGGGTCTCCCTAGCCTTTTAGACCAGACTTAACCTCCCTGCCTTTTCCCTTATATCTTGTGATAGGGCTTTGCACATGGTAGGCAGACATCTAAAAAATACTTCTAAAGCTAGATATAATGACACAAGTCTATAATCCCAGCACTTGAAAGGCTGAGCAAGAAAGATCACAAATTCAGGGTTAGTCTGTGCTAGAGAGAGGGAGACTGTATAAAGCAAAACCAACAATGATAATAGTGACAAATCTTGGAGGACTAGGGCTATAGGTTCGTGTGAAGAGCATATATCCAGCACAGAAAAAGAACAGACCTGAATCTCACTCTTTGAGTAGTGTATTCTCCTTTTTTCCCTGGTTTTCAATATATGGTTTCTCTGTGTGTAGCTCTCATTGTCCTGGAACTCACTCTGTAGACCAGGCTGTCCTCAGACTCACAGAGATCCGCCTGCCTCTGTCTCCTGAGTGCTGGGATTAAAGGTGTGCACCACCACCACTGCCTAGCAAGTAGTTAATTCTTTTAAATAGAAGCATACACTATTTGATGTTTAGTTGGTTTAGTTTTTGAGATAAGGTATTACTGTGTAGCTCTGATGAATCTATATAGACCAGGCTGCCCTGAAACTCAGAGAGTCCCTGTGTCTGTGCTGGGACTTAACTTACGTCATAATGCCGCCATGGTTAGTTTTTACTTGAAATGACAGATCTCATCACACTTGAAAATTTTAATCAAGACATAATTAAAATGATTATCTGAATTAGTATATTTCAAAGTGTTCAAAAGTGCAAGGCAGGCATGGTAATTCTACCCACTAGTACTTGGGAGGTGGAGGCAGAAGAATCAGGAGTTCTAGGTCCACCTGCGCAACATGAGACCATGTTTCAAAAACAAAAATCCTTTAACTCCATTTATATGTGTGTATGCCTGCTTAATTCCCCATTTACCTGGTAACAAGAGCAGTCCGCTTGGTCTTCTAAAACTCCTCAGTGACTTGCATCTTGTGTTCAATGCATATCCAATTTTTTTTACCCTGTGACAAAGGGAAATATTTTAATTGGAGACACCAAAGTGACCACTGCTGGGGAACTCAAAAGAGTCTTCACTAGCTGCTGGCTTTATCAAAGGCCCTTCATTCTCCAGTCTCCTGGATTGCAGCATATTATCACACAGTTTGAATACTAAAGCTTCTGTTGTTGTAAACTATAGATTTGTTATTTTGAGACACAAGTCTCATATAGTCCAGGCTTGCCTCAGATTCACTCAGTAGACCAAGATGCCCTTAAACTCCTGATCCTCCCAAGTACCGAGAGCACAGGCTTATGCCACTATGCCGCTGACGGCAGCTTTCCTCCTCCTTCCTCCTGGCTTTATAGTCCTCCCCTTTGTGGGGTCATTATGGGCTGCTTCTGGAGGCGTTCCGTCATTTGGAACCTGAATGAGAAGAGTAGACTATCTCTAGCTGACCCAGAACTTCTTTGTTTATTGTTTACGGTGTGTGTCAATATGGGTGCATGTATGGAGGTCAGAGGACAGCTTTGGGGACTCTGTTCCCTCCCCCTCCCCTGGGTTCTAGGGATCAAACACAGGTTGCTTTTACCTGCTGAACTATCTTGCCCTGATTTTTTTGTTTGTTTGTTTGTTTTTTTTTGTTTTTCGAGACAGGGTTTCTATGTGGCTTTGGAGCCTGTCCTGGAACTAGCTCTGTAGACCAGGCTGGTCTCGAACTCACAGAGATCTGCCCGCCTCTGCCTCCCGAGTGCTGGGATTAAAGGCGTGCGCCACCATCACCTGGCTCTTGCCCTGATTTAAAAATGTTTTCAAATCTACTAATTATATTGTGAAGAAGACTGATATAGCTGGGTGTGGTGGCACACCTGTACTTCCAGCATGTGGGAAGCTGAGGCAAGAGGATTTCCATGAGTTTGAGGCATACCTGGGCTATTTGTCATGGCACAGAAACTCCAGCTCCCTGAAGTGTCATATCCCACTCATCTCAATAAAGAAGAAGTGGCCCCTTCGTCTGAGTTTAGCAGAGTGAACATATAGGAAATAGGAGCTTTAATATCACCCAGGAGGATCCCCTTCAGACAGAACTAGGTATCGTTTTTCCCTCTTAACCTCAAGAAACAGACCCTTCTTTGTGTCTCAGTGGCCGCCAGAGGGAATGGATGATCATTTCAGGTGCTGCAGCTGCAATGTTCCAAGAGTCCTCTCTCTCCAGGTGGTGTCGCCACGGAGTGCAGGGGGGATGCTGTTTCTGTGAGTAGCGGGAGCTGGTATGGCTCCTGTGATGTATGAGGACGCCTGTCACACAAACCACCTGTTAGGAGACCCTTTCATTTCTCATAAGAACTGGCAAGAAACCAAGAGGAGGTGCACCTGCCTGGCTTTTGTGAACCATGACGAAACATATGCATGTACTGCCGCTTCATTAAGGTCCTCAGATAGCTGGAGTTACAGATCTTAGTGATGCCGCACAGGTAGCGCTTCTGGCCTGAGCTGAGTTCCGGATGCTGAAAGACAGAATGAGGGGTCTACTGACTGCTGTATTGTAGAAGGCTCACAGGTAAGCCCTAGAACCAGGAATATTAAACACACAGGGTCATCTCTCCTAAGGGACAGATGTATAACCTGTGATTAATAGCCTAGTGACCGCCAAGCGATGGTGGCGCACGCCTTTAATCCCAGCACTCGGGAGGTAGAGGCAGGCGGATCTCTGTAAATTCGAGACCCAGCCTGGTCTACAGAGCTAGTTCCAGGACAGGCTCTAAAGCCACAAAGAAACCCTGTCTCGAAAAACCAAAAAAAAAAAAAAAAAAAAAAAAAAAAAAAAAAAAAAAAAAAAAAAAAAAAAAAAGCCTAGTGACCTTTGCATTATCTGTGTGGCCAGGAAACACCAAATCCTCCCCAAGACCCTTATCAAAAAAAGACCCTTGAGCCTCTTTCCTCAATTAATGTATACTACTGTCTCGTGCTTTGCAGAGTTTTGATGTAGTCATGCATTAAGTTTTGATGTGTACACATGATTGAGTTCATTATCACCAGGAAGCTTTTCCTCAAATTGTGCTGTGCTTACCTGTGCCTAAAATAAACTACCTGAGGTCAAACTTTTGAAGCTTAAACCAACACCAGCTTCTGAGTTGTGTTGAACTGAACTGCCTTATCTGTCACAGATTGAAACTCTGCTGGCCTTGGTTCCCAAGACCCCCTCACTGTAGAACACAGGTTAGCAGTCTTTTTACTGAAAGGATAGATGTTGAGGGTTGTCCCACTTCATCTATATGGTATTCACAAGCAAATTTAGCTGACTCAACTTTGCCAAAGGAGAAGAAAATGACTACTTATTTAAACATACAAATGGTTCTGGCTGCCATTCCACAGTAACACAGATCTTGAAAGGAGGGTGCTGTGCTCTCTGTCTGCAAGCTTTAGAACCCCCACCTAGCTTCTCAAGTGGGATATCTTGCCCTTTTTAATCTATTTATTCATTTACCTATTTAATTTGTTTAATTTGTTGTGCATGTGTTGGGGAGGTACTGGGAGTGGAGTCAGGGGACAACTTGCAGCTTTGGGTTGTCTTCTTTCACCATGCAGATCCCAGGAACACAACCCAGGTCTAGGCTTGTGTCAAGCACCTCTCCAAACTGAACCTTCTCCCCACCCTTGCTGTCTTACTATGGTGTTTTTTTTTTGTTTGTTTGTTTGTTTTTTGTTTTTTGTTTTCTGTTTTTTCGAGTCAGGGTTTCACTGTGGCTTTGGAGCCTGTCCTGGAACTAGCTCTGTAGACCAGGCTGGTCTCGACCTCACAGAGATCTGCTGGCCTCGGCCTCTGCCTCCCAAGTGCTGGGATTAAAGGCGTGCGCCACCATCGCCCGGCCTTACTATGGTGTTTTGAGGGACAGGATGGTACCTGAAAGCAACTTAGTTTGTTTGGTCTCAACTAAAGATACATCTTTTCCTGGAGCAGAAGAGTATCTGCTGCCTCTGTGGACCATATTGTAAGTTAGTTTCCAACCTAAGTTTTTAAAAAAGTATGTGTCTATATATGTGGGCATGTGCACACAGAATGCAGAAAAGGGTGTCCAGTCCCCTGGAGTTGGAGTTACAGGTGGTTGTGAGCCTAGACATGGGTGCTAGGGCTGAACTCTGGTCCTCTTAATCACTCAACCATCTCCTCAGCCCCTAATTTTTTTTAAAAAAAAAAACATGGCTTCAAACATCCCATGCTGGCTCTGACCTTGAAATGTAACAGAATGACCCTCAATTTCTGGTCCACCTCCCTCCATCTCCTGAAGACTGGGTGTGCCACCATGCCAGGTTTCATCATTTAATCTAATTTGACTGAGTGTACTTCCTTTTTAAAAGAAACATGTCCTTCCTTAAGATGCACAACTCAGCCAAGTGGTGGTGGCACATCCCTCTAATCCCAGCACTCAGGAGGCAGAGGTAGGCAGGTCTCTGAATTTAAAGAGAGTTCCAGGACAGCCAAGGCTACACAGAGAAACCCTGTCTTGCCCCCTCAAAGATGCAAAACTCAGTTATTGATGTATGTATATATACACCTAGAATTTACATTATTGAATAAGTCATTAATCTAAAGAGGAGTAGGAAAGTTGGCCAGAAGAACCTACCAGTCCACAGAAAGCTTTATTAGATCTCATTACAGATGGCTGTGAGCTACCATGTGGTTGCTGGGAATTGAACTCAGGACCTTTGAAAGAGCAGGCAGGCCGGGCGGTGGTGGCACACGCCTTTAATCCCAGCACTGGGGGGGGGGGTGTCCCAGCACTCGGGAGGCAGAGGCAGGCGGATGTCTGTGAGTTCGAGACCAGCCTGGTCTACAAGAGCTAGTTCCAGGACAGGCTCCAAAACCACAGAGAAACCCTGTCTCGAAAAACCAAAAAAAAAAAAAAAAAAAAAAAAAAAAAAAAAAAAAAAAAAAAAAAAAAAAAAAAAAAAAAGAAAGAAAGAAAAGAAAAGAAAGAGCAGGCAGTGCTCTTAACCTCTGAGCCATCTCTCCAGCCACCCTGGTTTGTCTTAAACTCCTGAGCTCAGGCCACCCTCCTGCCTCAACTTCCCCAGTAGCCAGGACCACAGGCACATGCCACCATACTTAGTTCTCACAGGTTTGATCATTAATGAAGAATAAAAATCAATAGTTCTGCCAGGCAGTGGTGGGACACGCCTTTAATCCCAGCACTCGGGAGGCGGAGGCAGAGACAGGTGGATCTCTGAGTTCGAGGCCAGCCTGGTCTACAGAGTAACATTCAGGACAGACTCCAAAGTGACAGGGAATCTATAATCCTTGTAAGTCATTCATGAATTTATTCAATATACTTACTGACTCTGCTTTGGGGATGGGTGAGTTTTGTTTTTGTTCTATTTGTTGTTGAAACAAGGTTTTACTATGTGGCCCTGGCTGGCTTCTGACTTTCTACATAGACCAGGCTGGCCTCAAACTCAGAGAAATTTACCTTTCTCTGCTTTCCCAGGGCTGGAATAAGGCCTGTGCTATCACATCAATTCTTTTTGAGGACATTTTTTTTAAGCTTCAGGGAAAATACAATAGGCCAGGTAAGCTGAAAATTTCTGGCAACTGCCAGGAGGAGCGGGATGGAAAGAAAGTCAGGCCTTTCAAGTTAGGTATGAAAGTCAGAGAACCAGGGAGAAAGCCTAGAGTGCCAGGGACAGCATGCCTAGGCTTTGGCCAGTATCCGAAAGGAAGAGCTACAAGAAAAATGGAAGCAGAAAGGCTTCACAGTGTTGCCTGACCACTGCTCTGCAGGAGGCTGCCTTCACACACAGACTCCCTGACAGTGTTCTGGATACACCATGTAGTCTGCTGGGCCTAAACTTCTATCCGAGTAGTTTATCTTCAGTCACAAGTTCTGGAACTATAGCTTGGTGTAGATTACTTGGTTAGTATGCATGGTGCCCTGGGTTTAAGATTCAGCTTCCTTCAGAAACATTACAGAGGCAGGCAATATGGCTTAGCAGGTAGAAGTGCTTGCTGCCAAGCCTGACAGCCTGAATCTGCTCCCTAGGTGAAGGAGAGTACTGGTTCCCACAAGTTATTCTCTGACCTTCACACAGACAACTATAGGTAAATTTTTACTTTAAATTCTGGTCTTACCTTTAGAAAAGATGAATCTGTCACTGATTTAGGGATATGAATTGTTTGGATTTGAGTGGTTTTCCATAACTCCTGCAGCTTGGCAATGTGTGAGTACACTCTGTGCCCCTCTTTGATTCTATCTGTAGACAAAGATCATTAATAATTATGAATATATATCTATATTTATACTTGTGAATATCCTGAAGCAGTTATACAAGTATCTTAAGTCAGATAGTTAAAATTTGAGGGAATGAATAATATGTATGCCCTTTATTTTTAGAGCACACAAACATCAGAAATGGACATGTCTCCAAAGATGTTAATACACAGCCAAATAAACACTTTAAAAGATGCTCAAAAGCTGGGCAGGGTGGCACACGCCTTTAATCCCAGCACTTGTGAGGCAGAGGCAGGCGGATCTCTGTGAGTTCAAGGCCAGCCTGGTCTACATAGGGCAGCCAGAACTGTTAGAGAAATTCTGTCTCAAAAAATGTTCAGAATCACTCATCAGCAGTTTAGTGCAAAGAAAAATAAGATGCAGGCTGGCAAGATGGCAACCTGAGTTCAATCCCTGGAATGTAAAATGGAAGGAGGGACGTTACTCCACAGAGCTGTTCTCTGGCATTCCCTACACACACCTGTGCTACCAAGACCAGTAAACCACCTCCCCCTCCCCTGGAAAATTAGTAAGAGGCCTTGAGGAGATGATGTTTTTCTCTTAACTTCATCAAAAAAGAGGTATCTGAAAAGTGCTCCTTGTGAAATAGCTGATGGTTTGTGAAGCTGTTTGTGTAGGATTTCCCTTCAGTCCATGTGTAAACAACAGCTATGCCCTCTGCTTTCCAACCAATGCTAATTCTCAACACAGTTCTTTTAGAAGTCATTGGTACTAAAAAAAAATATTATAGAGTCAGGGTTACACTCAGAAACCCTGTCTCAAAAACATTATAGATTAACACAAGAGAAAGAAGTGATCTTTGAAACTCTGAAAAGCGTTTCAAGTTTACTGAGGATGTTAAAGTCCATTCTCTAGGGCTACAGCTCAGTAGCTGTCTAGCATGCACAGAGCCCCACACTCAATCTAGTGAAGTCTGTTTTACATTTGCAGATGTGTGAGGTGGGAGAAAATGGGAAAGCAGGATGAAGTCAGAGAACAACTTAAAAGAATCGGTAGGTTCTGGGGGAACTGAAATCAGCTAGTCCATTTTGCCAGCCCTTTGAGCCTATTGTTAAAACTCCACTGTGTAATTAGTGTCAAGCAAACTGGCTTCTCTCAAGTCTGCAATCTACATGCATTACCTGCTTTATGCTGCTCACCAGTGCCTTTCGAAATCTGGTGATAAAAGCGCCCAACTGACCTGTTAGAAAAGAACACACATAATATATAATCTGGCAGCTTGATAGCCAGTGAAGACGGAAAGTCCAGTGACAGACAGCTCACGTGCTTTTTTACTTTTCCTGTTTCCATCAATATCTTGCAAATTTTCTCCTAGGACGAGAGTGAGTGCATTACTAGGGGATAGAACCCAGGGCTCACAAATGCTAGGCAAGTGCTCTACCACTGAGCCATCTCCCCAGTCCCACTTTCATAGCTCCCCAGTCTAATCTTACAGCGATACCAAGTGAGTAGTTTGGTTCCTGTACTATACGCAGGATATCTTTCTTGTTCTTTGATAATTTCAGTACTGAAAAGAATAACTATTTTGTGCTGGAACTACTAGTAAATTGAACCAGAACTGGCCTGTAACGTTTCCAATCTTGCATCGGTTCTTTTTACTTTTCTCAAAAAATTAAATTGCTTCCTGCAGTTTCTCAATAACTGTTGTGTTCATTGAACCAGCACACCTCCAAGCATTGTGAGGAACATGAAAGAATCTGACATTTCATCTTTAAGAAGTCTTAGCAGCAAATATATACATATATACAATAAAATGCACATTTAATATGAATATATATTTAATAAATGTAAATATGTATTTCACAGCCATGGATTCAGCAAGCGCCATATGGTTGTGAACCTGTCTGAATCCCGGTCATCCTGCTGCTCTTGATTTTAAGGAAGCAAAAGTGGGGGACGGGGATAGGGAAGCATGGTTAGCGGCCCCTAGCCTTGACATCAGAAGTCTACGGTCCTCGCTATCCAGGAAACAGTTAAACCCCGCCCAGGCCAGGAGTCATAGTCTACACCCGCCATCCCAACACTCCGAAGTGGAGCAGGAGAACGAGTAGTTCAAGACCAGCCTGAGCTACGTGACTGTGCATCAAGAAACCAATCCGCCAAACAAGTCAAGATCAACTTGCTAGCTCACAGCTCCATCCGACAAAGAGGCTGCCAACGTCGCAGGGAGTGGATTGGTGGCGGAGCTGGGGGACTGGGAGCCGAGGGGCTGGGTCCTCGGCTCCCGCTGGGTTCGCAAGGCCCTTTCCCGGGCTGAAAGCCCGAGCGGGTGACAGTTGCCGTCCTGCTCCTAGGACGCCTCGCAAGCCCTTCCCCTCGTCAACAGAGTCCCGGCTTCACCAGGGGCCCCATCCTAAGCAGGGGTTCCCGGGCCTCACCCGTCGCCGTCTTCCGTCCTGGCCAACGCGGGCAGCTCGGCGGCCCCGGGATAACGGCTCGGCATCCCGTCGGTACGCGTGCGCCACGCCCGCTGTGAGGCCGTGTCCTGCGGCTCTACCCTCCGACCCTGCACGAGCGGCTTCGGGACGGTGCCGAAGGCGACCCGAACCCCTGGAGCTAGACCCGGGTTGGAGGAGGCCTCAGGTGACCAGGCTTCTGCGCCTTGGCATCTCTCCGTGACAGGGACGCGTCTGGGCAAGGTCACACACACGCTCCCTTAAAGCAAAATGTGTCTTCCTCCTCAGTATTCCAGACCCTCAGCAGATCTGCAAGTCTTGGGTTGTCACCCTAGGAGTCAAACCCAAGAACAGTGCGCCTGCCCTTGGGTGCTGAGCGTTACTCGCGATTCGCTATCACCTAGGCAACCAGCTTCGTCCGTCGACCAAGCGACAACTGCCCGCAGCTCTCTTTGCGCACGCGTGGAAACCTTCTCGTTTTTTTTTTTTTTTCCTCAGGATGCGTTTTCAGTTTTGGCTCCTGGGACGCTCCGTAGTCGAAGGTGTGGTACGTACCAGTGACGATCTGGGTCGTGATTGGCTTGTCCCCAACGCCCCCGGAACTCAGGGGTTCTCGCGCGAAGGCTGAAGGGAGTGTGGCAGGCGGCAGAGAACCCGGCCGGCCGGAATGCCTCGGTACGCGCAGCTAGTTATGGGACCCGCGGGCAGCGGGAAGGTGAGGCTCGAGGAGCTGCGGTTCGTGGGCGCTGGGGCCAGGGGCACCCTGGGTAATCGCTTCCGCTCTCTGCTTGTGCTTTGTTTTTTTGGGGGAGTAAAATGGGGCAGGAGGGATGGCTGAGCGCGTAAGAGCTTGTTCTGCTGTTCCAGAGGACTCGAGTTCGGGTCCCTGCACCCACACACAGTTGTCACTCCAGCCCCAGGCCTCTGCGAACGGTGCATCCATGTGCACGTGCCCACACACAACACAGACTTTTAAAATAATAACAGTATTAGGATACTTTTGCTCCAGGAACTGCTCTGGCCGTCCCAAGTGTTGTCATAACCACTCCGTGAGTTTGGGCCTATACTCATTCTACAGATTAAAGAAAACGAGATACGGTTAGTTCTGGCCAGAATTTGAGTCTATTGTCTAATTTCGTTTGTTTATTTATTTATTTATTTATTTACTTATTATGTATACAGTATTCTGTCTGTGTGCATGTCTGCAGGCCAGACGAGGGCACCAGACCTCATTACAGATGGTTGTGAGCCACCATGTGGTTGCAGGGAATTGAACTCAGGACCTTTGGAAGAGCAGGCAATGCTCTTAACCTCTGAGCCATCTCTCCAGCCCCTATTGTCTCACTTCAGATCAGGCCCTCTGCCACACACCCAGAATAGGGTCTTGTTCGTCACTGTTAGTCAGAAGTTTGAGCATTGGGTTCCATCGCAGCACTGGGAGGTGGGAGGGGAAAGTTGGGTTATGGATTTCTGAGGTATGTCTCCCTTGTGTGCACTGCCCAAAGAAACCGGAAGAGGGTGTCGCTTGCAGAAATCTCAGATCTTCAGCAAGAGCAGCAAGTGTTCTTAAACACTCAGCCATCTCTGCAGTTCACAAAGAATTGCAGCTTTTCTTTTCTCCCTTCCTTCCTTCCTTCCTTCTTTCTTTCTTTTTTTTTTTTTTTTTTTTTTTTTTTGGTTTTTCAAGACAGGGTTTCTCTGTAGCTTTTGGAGCCTGTCCTGGAACTAGCTCTTGTAGACCAGGCTGACTTCGAACTGGCTCTGCCTCCCGAGTGTGCTACCACTGCCTGGCTGTATTGCAGATTTTCATTCTTCGTGTGTGTGTGTGTGTGTGTGTGTGTGTGTGTGTGTTAGGTATGTTGTTGTTGTTTGTTTCTGAAACAGTCTCACTAGCTTTTAACTGGCCTGGAACTCATTGTGTAGCCCATGCTATCTATCTAGTCTCCAACTCAGAGATATGCCTCAAGTGCAGGGATTAAAGTTGTGCACAACTATTCCCAGCCCCTAGACTCGGTTTTAATAGGCAACAGCATTAGTAAGGCTGTAGCAGTGGTGTGCTTTTGATCCCAACACTTGGGAAACAGAAGTCAGGAGAATCTTGAGTTTGAGGCCAGTCTGAGCAACACAGCAAGAAAGACCCTGTCTCTAAGAGAAAAACAAAATCTAGTTTTCTGATTGGCTGACCAGTGATTAGGGTGGGCTATTAGAATAGGAAAATGAACAGCAGAAGCTGAGGCCTCCAAGGGTGGAGTCAGGGGGTTGATAAACACAGCATGCCTCCTGCCCTGAGTAGGCTTCCCATGTATATTCCAGAAGTGCAGAATGTGGGGGTGCACACCTCGAGTCTCAGCACTCAGGAGGCAGAGGCAAGTGGATCTCTGTAAGTTTGAGGCCAGCCTGGTCTGCAGAGTGAGGCAGAACAACACAGTGAACACCTGTCTCAAAAACAAAAACAACACCTTCCACGAGTGGGGCTGAGTAGCACATGCCTGTTATCCAGCACTGGGGGCGTGGATCAGGAGGAAAATTGTAGGTAACATAGGCTGGGATCTACCTTGGTGGTAGGCGCTTGCCTGTTACTGACAAGGCCCTGAGTTCAGTCCCCAGCACTGTAAACAACAACAACAACAATAAGTTTAAAAAAGTTGAGTTTGATTGTTTTTGTTTTTTGTTTTTCGAGACAGGGTTTCTTTGCATCTTTGGAGCCTGTCCTGGAACTAGCTCTTGTAGACCCGGCTGGTCTTGAACTCACAGAGATCCGCCTGCCTCTGCCTCCCGAGTGCTGGGATTAAAGGCGTGCGCCACCACTGCCCTGCGAGTTTGATTGTTTTTGGAGACAAATTCTTCCTGTGTAGTCCACACTGGCCTTAAACTTATGGTCCTCTTGCCTCAACTTCCTTTGTTCTGGGATTATAGGTAGGCACCCCAATGTCTGGAAAAAGTTACTTAGAATTTTATAGTTATCTTCATATTATGAGGAATATACTCATGATTGTTTTTTATCTTTAATTGTGATACAGTGTTTCCATGTTTTGTTTTCTTTTGAAATAGGGTTTCTCTGTGTAGCCATGACTATCCTAGAACTTGCTTTGTAGACAGGCTGGCCTCGAACTCAGAGATCCATCTGCCTCCGCCTCCTGAGTGCTGGACAATGTTTCCTTGGATAGATCTATTAAGGGAATAATCTTAGGGACACTAAACACAGTAGAAAAGGCAAAGATAATGATCACATACCAAGTTTGGGGAATTCCCAGTGTCCATGGAGGTGTTGTGTTACTTGAGTATTTAATAAACCCATGGTTCTGAGTACCAGAGACTCCACAGAGCCTGTAATCTAGGAGGTGGATAGCTGACCTGTCAATCACAGTACATTTTGATGTGTGAAGGGGTTGTATCAGTCAGAGAACAGGTGTCAGGAGGGAAGCATGGTGGAGATCATTTGTATAACCTGAGTTGATTTTGGGGCTGTGTTAAAGCTCCCTAAGCCTGAGCCACTCCTTGATCTATAGCTCTGCTTTTACTGCCTTCCCATGGCTTTCCCCAAAGGTGCAGCTTTGTCCTGTGTGGACACTGCCCCAAAGAATGGAGAAGTCCCTGGGGTGTGGAGGTGGCACCATACTGCCCTCTGTGCTAACCACCTCCCTTGTCACGTACCCCCCTTGTCACGTTACAGAGCACCTACTGTTCCACCATGGTTCAGCACTGTGAAGCCCTCAACCGTTCTGTCCAGGTGGTCAACCTGGACCCCGCAGCAGAGCACTTCAGCTACCCTGTGATGGCTGGTAAGTCCTGGCAGAGCCTCCTGCTGTGAAACGGCCACTTACTCTCGGGCTCAGCCCTGGTTTCATGATGAGGGAGATGAAGCCGAGGGTCATTTGGTGATGGGTGTCCGTGGGTGTGGGTGTGATGACCTCCTTTCTTGCTTTTTGCTGTGAGACTTAAAGGTGAGTGGGCTCCTGCCCGTCTGCTTTTCCCTGTTGTCCCTTTGTTACTTATGCTGGTAAGACCAGGGTAATATGGTTTGTATGCCGCAAACAGCACCAATGCTGGCTTAAATGAAAAGGTGAGCTCAGGGCTGGGGGTGTGTCTTGGTGGTATAATGCTTGCCTGTGGTAATGTAGCCTTGGGTTTGAGCACCACAGAAAACTTAATGAGGTGGTGCATGTTTGCAACCTCAGTGCTCAGTAAAACAAACCAAAAAAAATTTTTTTATTAAAAAAAAATAACTGGGTTGGGCCGTGGTGGCACACACCTTTAATCCTAGCACTTGGGAGGCAGAAGTAGGTAGATCTTAGTGAGTTCTAGGCCAGCTTGGTCTACAAAGTGAGTTCCAGGACAGCCAGAGGGAAACCCTGTCTTGAAAAAACAGACAAAACAAAACAAAAAAAGCAGTAACCTTAGGCAGGTGGTGGTGGTGCATACCTTTAATCCCAGCATTCAGGAGGCAAAGGCAGGCAATCTTTGTGAGTTCAAAAGGAGACCTGGTCTACAGAGTTCCAGCACATCAAAACTGATACTACACAGAGAAACCCTGGGTGGGGAGGGGATGACAAACCAATAGTAAACCTCATTCAAGTAGAAACTGCTCATTTAGATGGAAGACACAAATATTTGGGCTAGCAGCAGTCTAGGCACATTGGACCCCAGGATGGGTGACCTCATCTTGGGAGGGGTTTGTTAGAGAAAAGGAAGTGAGCTGAGCCCTGAAGGTCTGTGTTCTTTGGAGGCTGTTGGAGGAGTTGGCCTCAGTGAGATGTGAGGAAGGTGCAGCTTCTGAAGGGACAGAGGGAAGTTCTCAAGAAAGAGGTGTGGTTCACGTTAGGTCTGAGCAGTTGTGTAACACAGTAACCCTGTTAGATGAGGGGACATGGTGACAGCGGCAGCTCTGACAGTCAGCAGTGGGGCTGTGGGCAGGTGGGAGTGGACTGGAGAGTGAAGTTGAGGGACCACAGTGTGGGCAATGCCACACAAGTTTTGTTTTTGCTTGAGTTTTGAAATAGAGTCTCATGTAGCTGGAACTTCCCTCAAACTCCTCATGTAGCCAAGGATGATGTTGTACTTTTGAACTTCCTGCCTTTACCTATGTATTGCTGGGGTTACAGGCTTGAGCCGAGGGTGTGGTCATGAGGACAGTGTGGACTCTAGTAGGTGGAGGAACAGGCTGAGGAGGGAGTGGAAACCACTTTGTCATCTCTCTAGAGAGAGAGGGAGAGGGAAAGACAGATTTGCTTCAGGATCCCGTGAGTGGAAGCACTGAGGCTGTGCCGAGTGAAAAGATGTGTCAGAAGGACCTGGGGCCTCGAGCCCCGGAGGGAAACTGAGATGAGAGGCCAGCTTCCTGTCTGTTTTACTTTGATCTCAAAATGAGTGAGAACTGTTTGTATGCTGAGGTATTTAATACCTTTCTGTAGGTAAGTCACACGGTTCCCATCCTTCCACTCAGGATGAATGCGCACTGGAGTTAACTAGCTTCTTTGGATCATCGAGTTAATAAGCACTTGGTTTCATTTTAGCTTCCTTCTTGACATAGTTAATACATAGGGAATGGTCAACATTTGAAGGACACAGCGGAGAAAGTATGCAGAAAAATCAGACAAATCGTGGCCCACCAATCAAATCTGATCCTTTGGGCAGCCAGTGTTACTGGTTTCTGATGTGTTCCTCCATGAGCAACTTGTGCATCTAAAACCCAGCCTGAGTGGACAGTATATAATGTGTTTGCAGTGAGCTTCTGTGTTTTGTTTTGTTATTTGCCTTGAAAAAGGACCTAACTGTATGGATCCTCTTACCTCACTCTCCCAAAAGCAGAGATTATTGTGGACCATCACAATCAGCTTTTTTCTTCCAGCACACCCATTTTTTACAGGAAGCTCTATGCTTTGAGTTTTTTACTTAATGATACAGTCGGGAGATTATATTATAGTAATGACTAAAGAGCTTCCCTTAAAGCAGGGCATGGTGGTGCACGACATCAATCCCAGCACTCAGGAGGCAGAGACAGGTAAATCTGTGGGAGTCTGAGGCCAGCCTGGTCTACAGAGTGAGTTCCAGGATAGCCAGAGCTACATAGTGAGACCCAGTCTCAAAAACCTAAACACACAAAAAAGAGCTTCTCCTCCCCTTTCTCTGTCTGCATAGTGTTCTGCTGTGTAACATCTGTTCAGTAATTTATTTGCTCAGTCAGATGTCTTGCTCTCACCCCACCTACTCCTTTGAGGAATAGGGTCTCCAGCTGAACCTGGAGACAAGCCCTGGCAGCTCTCCCTCCTCCACCCCACAACACTGGAGTTACAGACCTGTGGCTATGCCCAGCTTTTTTCACGGGTGCTAGAGATTCACACTCAGGTCCTCATGCTTGTGCACCAAGGACTCTTAGTCACGGAGCGTCTTCTCAGCCCCACACGTGAGTTCTTATATACCTGTTAGTCACTTCTAGAGAAGATAGTTTTCCAAGTGGATACTCATTCTGGTCCTTGCCTGGCTCTCTAGACATCCGGGAACTGATCGAGGTGGACGATGTGATGGAGGATGATTCTCTGCGGTTTGGTCCCAACGGAGGATTGGTATTCTGCATGGAGTACTTTGCCAACAACTTTGACTGGCTGGAAAACTGCCTGGGACACGTTGAAGATGATTACATCCTTTTTGACTGTCCAGGTATGTCAGCCACTTGAAAATGCTGTTTGCCCTGAAACTGTGATGGCATGTCCTCGTCGGGACTGCACTGAGGGAGCCTGGGCCAGTGCCATGGAACTTAGGGTCCCATGGCAAGCAAGCAAGATAAAGACACGCCGTGGTTAATATTTGTGGCAGGGACTCACAAAAGGAACACAGGCTGTTCTGCAGAAGAAGTGTTCAGGAGGCTACTGAGACAGCTGTGCAGGCAGAAGGCTAAAGACAAGAAGCAGCAGGCAGATTGGAAGTCGGGTGGCTGGGGCACAGTGGGCAGAAGTGTTGTGAGGTGAAACTGGTGAGGGGTAGGGAATGCCACAGCTTCTGAAGGGTGAGTGTGAACTTACCTTGCTCACCTGTGGCTTTCACTTGCTTTCTTTTTCTTGCTTTTAATCAAACACATGGACTCCACAGAAAAGTGTGTGTGAAGCGGTAGTGGCGCGCGCCTTTAATCCCAGCACTTGGGAGGCGAAGGCAGAGGCAGGCGTATCTCTGTGAGTTCGAGGCCTGTCTGGTCTACAGAGCTAGTTCCAGGACAGGCTCCAAAGCTACAGAGAAACCCTGTCTCAAAAACACCAAAATAACAACAACAACAACAACAAAAAGTGTGTGTGTGTTATGGGTGTGAATATTCCCAGACTGCATGCCCCTTGTACTTGGATTTTTATTTTTCTGTGCTAGGGTTGAACCAGGACTGGCTCATGTCAGGGAGGCAGTCTGCCACAGGTTCTCATCCTTGATCCCAGCACTGGCAAAAACTGAGGTGTTAAAATTAGTACTCTGCTTGATGTTTTCTTGGTGACCATACCTTAGGTTTTATGGTTGTCCTGGGAGTCTGTAAGGCCCCTTACAAGCTGAGCGCAGGGCATGGAGAGGGCTCAGAGGTTAAGGGCACTTACTCATCCAGAGGACCCGAGTTTGGTTCCCAACACCTGTATCGGGTGGCTTACAACTTGTATTTCTTCCACTCTGACACCCTGTTCCTGGCCTCCACATTCACCTCAGAGACCTGACATGCAGACATACATAAATCAAAATAATAAAACTCTTTCAGGAAAAAAGATGCAGAAAAAACAAAACTTAATGCAGAGTCTGCAGGGATGTTGCGGTCACAGAGTACTTGACTAGCTTATTCAAGGCTGCAGTCCAGTCCCCAGCACACAGACAAGACAGAAACACCTGGATGTCGCAGCAGGATCTGACTTCCTTCTCTCTTCAGTACTGGATATTGAACCAAGGGCTTCACACACAGTAGGCATGCATCAGAGCACTGTGTGCCGCTTCCCCTTTACACCATCTCTGCAGCATCCTGTGTGGACATGTGCTGCAGTAATCAGGAGCATCCCATGTGTGCACGTGCTGCAGTAACTGGGAATATCCCATGTGTGTATGTGCTGCAGTAACTGGGAATATCCCATGTGTGTATGTGCTGCAGTAACTGGGAACATCCCATGTGTGGATGTGCTGCAATAACCAGTTACTGCATTCTGGTGCTCTCCCTGCAGGTCAGATCGAGCTGTACACACATCTGCCTGTGATGAAGCAGCTGGTCCAGCAGCTTGAACAGTGGGAATTTCGAGTGTGCGGAGTATTCCTTGTTGATTCTCAGTTCATGGTGGAATCTTTCAAGGTCTGAGGATGAATCTCTTGTAGACTTTTCAGTCCTGGGTAGAAAGCAAGTGTCAGTCTCTGCCCATTCTGTGTGAGTCTGTACATTTCATAGGCTATTCCATTTATTTAGTGTCTCCAATGGTCAGATTATTATGTGAATATATACTTAATTAGAAAATAGATTTGAGGGCTGGAGAGATGGCTCAGTGGTTAAGAGTATTGCCTGCTCTTCCAAAGGTCCTGAGTTCAATTCCCAGCAACCACATGGTGGCTCACAACCATCTGTAATGAGGTCTGGTGCCCTCTTCTGGCCTGCAGGCAGACACACAGACAGACTATTGTATACATAATAAAGAAAGAAAGAAAGAAAGAAAGAAAGAAAGAAAGAAAGAAAGAAAGAAAGAAA